TTTTATTAATATGTATATATATATTATTTCCTAAAATTAGGTCTTGATTGGAGACGAGAATCGGAGTTTGACTAGAAAATAAACCAGGACGAGATAGTTCGTCGATAATGGAAACATCTCATATTGATATATCTTTAGTCGAGACATATATGAACTGTCTAGATGCAATGTCATATTCGTTTCAATACATTTTAACTGACTAATGCTCTATCGTCCATTCTAAATCTTGACAACTTAAAATATAAGAAATCCCATCAATTAAACTTTTAAGATCATACATGTTTATTAAATGATTTAAAGCTGTGACACATGTAAAGGTTCACAAAAAATGTAAAAAAATATCAATACATTTTAACTGACTAATGCTCTATCGTCCATTCTAAATCTTGACAACTTAAAATATCAGAAATCCCATCAATTAAACTTTTAAGACCATACATGTTTATTAAATGATTTAAAGCTGTAACACATGTAAAGGTTCACAAAAAATGTAAAAAAAATATTTTTTTATAAAAAAGATAAAAATGCACTAAATAAAAAAAAAATGCCTACAAAAGCAAGCAGTGATTTCATATCCAAAGGTTAATCGTAGTCTGACAATTTTACGTAAGACATAATTTGGTTTTTTTAGGATGACAGATAAATCACCTTACTGCCACTCTACAGAACCGCACATGAGATTTTCACCTCATACGACTTCTTGTTCAATTATTTCGAAGTTATTGGATCCTTTTCCTTACTTTCCTTCATGAGGGCTTTTGTGTTTTTTCAGCCCTGAACGACTAGTTGATCGGACTTTTTTGAGTCATTCAACAGGACTTGGGACTAAACTCGCATGGGTTTTAAGATATGACATACATCGTCTGGATTTTCGAGCCAGTCTCGAGCTTCTTTTACATCTCTAATCCATATTTCTACCAAATCAATCATTTTTAAAATTAAAAAAAAAAAGAAAAACTAACAAACATTTTTAATTTATATAAATAATAATATTATTACACCCAAGTG